CTCCTCTTGCTTGTTGCTCACACTGCGTGTGTTAGTGTAGACGCACTTGAGCTGAACTGTTCAATCCACTCCTACCCTAAGCTTAGTTAGTGCCTTGAGAAATACAAGCAGATTCAATGACCAGTTTGAAAAATGTAACTGGACCTGCTGTGACTGGTTCCTGTAGCTATAGCTGATAGTGACTTTGGAGTTATCTGCATTGTTTTTGGAATGTGAGTGAAATATAGTGGGTATGTGTAGGACTGTTATTAAAAGCTGCCCTGGTATTATGCATCTGTCAAAACTGATTTTGAGGAAGAATGATTTCTTGTTTGCCCTAACTTTCTTTCCACATGCTTCTTGTCTGCTTTGTAGTGCAGTCAATACAGGATTGCATAAAGGCTTTTGGTAGAGTTCCTCATTTTAAATAAAGCAAAGCAGCCATGGGAGAAGAGGGTCCTGTGATAGCTAAATTTCCTGCAAGGAATAATTGGGGATAGGAAGAAATGCAGTATTACCTGTGGAGTGTGGTCATCAGGGAAGTTGTGCAGAAGTTTGTGCTGCTCAATATATTCACAGAAAAGAAAAAACCTGAGAAAGGAGTTATTTTCCTTTGTCCCCCTCCCCTCCAATCCTGGAAAGCAGGAAAATATACTTGCATAATTTCAGCTATTACTGTCTCAGGCACAAATTTAAAATTGTGTGCTCATCAAGATATACAGAATGAATAGCTGTTAGTGTTTTGTGTTTGTGTGGTTTTTTTTCAGAACGCACTAAATATAACCAACAACAACTATTATTCTGTTGAAGTGGCAAATATCACAGCCCAAGTTCAGTTTTCGAAAACGGTTATTGGCAAAGCACGGCTAAACAACGTCACCAACATTGGTCCTCTGGATAAGAAACAGGTAAATAGGATAGGCTGTCAAAGTTGAATATGTGTTAATCTTCATATATAAATCTACTAATTTGTGGTTTTGTTGGTTTTTAATTTTTTTTTTTAGATTGACTATATGGTGCCCACAGTCATACAAGATGAAATGAGCTACATGTAGTAAGTGTACTCACCTCTAAATAGCACATGGGTCTTACTAAAAATCACAGTTGTGCCAAACTTGACGTTTTTCAAAGTCATCAAAAATGCATTTACAAAGATGTGGCACTTTTTTGGTGTGTGAGTTTAAAAGTACTGAAAAATAGTTAAACTACAGTTGTTTCCCTAGTTCCATATAGTGGCTTGCTGTACCTGGCTCTCAGCACTTTGAATGGTATCTCTACCCCAGTGTTCTAGGGCTTGGCAATCGCTGGGACCCACTGCTTTGGGGGGTGGAAGTGCAGGTGTGTTCTCCTAACAAGTTCTCTAGTAACTTTCTCACAAATTTCTCTGGCAGTAGGGGGAATTTGTATTTAATTCTAGATAAATTAGGGACTATTTTTTATTTCTTCAGACCATGTGTATACAGTGGTAAGCAGTGTTTACAGCCTGTCCTTTAAGCAGTTTTATTCATAGCTTCTGAAAGCTAGGAGAGAAGCTTATAGCTTTGAAGTGTTGGAATAAATTTAAATAGGTATGAGATAGTAAATTGGGCTCTAACTTTAAATAAGCAGAAAGTGTTGTGCTTTTGTCACCTCTTAAAAGCACGTGAGTTAGCTTTATGTAAACACTGAATCCTGTGAATCTGCTCATCTGTTGGATGCATGAGGAATAAATAAATGTGGCATTCGTAGAACTCATGCTAATACGTACCTGTTTGTGCTTTTGTTGCAATAATGCATTGAAACTTCTTTCATGGTCAGTACTGTGGCGTTAATTTCAGTAATGCCGTTGAGAGTCTGTTCCCAAAAATAGCTGCAACTCTTACTTGCAAGCTGGTGACTAACCTTAGAAAAACCTGGATGATGTTGGATGTGTGGAGAGATACGGACAGGCAAAACCTGCTCTGCCTGTGGCCTGAGCTGCATGGATTTTAGGCTCTTCTGCTTGATAGCTGCAGCCTTGGCAATAGTGCGGGACAACTGTGTACCCACTGGTCCAGCTCAGGGGTAGATTGTGCAAGTCAGTGGAGGCAGAGAAACTGTCGTGTCAGTGCCCTTAGTCTGTAATGTGGACTTGCCCTCCTTTGGGACAAGTATTTGTGAATGTTACTAGAAGAGCAGACTAATAGCTGCTTTGTATGCATGTGAAAATATTTATTGCTTCAGCACATTGATGCTAAGCATGGACTGTAACTGGTTATGAGACCCGTAAGTATAGAAGTTTGTATCAATTAAGGATCTAAGTTCTTGTGTGGGCTGATACAGCAAAGTCCTAGTGCTTATGAGTAGCACTCTCTAGCTTTGTTGTGAAGTGTTTAAAATGTACTAGACGGAATTTGAGCCACACACAAAACTATAGTTGTTAATTTTCTCCAGATTTTCTGTATGTTACACAGTTGGTATTAGTTGACCTCCCTGACCTGTTGACAGTTACTGTTCTTGATGGGTTTCTGCTCTTTTCCTGTATTGTGAGTGTTGAAAGCCTGGGTTTGCTGTATGCAGCAACCCTGGAGACAGTGAGCTTTCTTAGCTTGAACACCCAGCCAACATAACTTCAGCTGGTCTTAGGGGGGTTTTGTCGTTGTTACTGTGTTTGGGTTTTTTATCTGCACACAAATATGTAACTTGCCAGTGAAGGCCCTGGGATAATCTTTGTAATACAGATAGTATTGTGGGTTATAGCATTGGGGGCTGTACCATGGTTCACGTTTTGGTGTTTCCCCAGCCAGTCAATTTAGGTCTTGTCTTTGTCATAACTAGCTAGTTGTCTGGATCCTGGAGAGTATATGTCCTGTAAAATCAGCTTAGGTTGAATACCTAAGATCTTGGAGACCTTCAGTGTCTGTACATAATCACCTGGATTCAGCAGACCTGTATGATGAAATCGGCATCATACAGAGCACTTCCACGCATTTATTTTAGAGAGCTGGCTCAATGTGGGTTCAATATTTTTTTCCATAGAAATTGCTGCTTTTATGTGAAAAGATGCTGAAGTTCGCATAACATTGATCTTTGGTTGTAAATTTTCCTTTCTATATAGAAATTTCACGTTGAGTGAATTACAGCAGATTATGACTATATCCTTTCATTGTAAAAGTCTTCCTCAGTGCTGAACTGATACTGACATGCTTTAATGTCGTGGTTCAGGTTAACTCTGATTAGCTTCTGAAAAATTGAGTGGACACTTTCACAGGACGCTTGTCAAGCATTGCATGTAAGGAAGCATGTGTAAATATAGTTAATGTAAAAGCAAGACTACGTATATAAAAGTAGATGTAGGTGAGTATAGAGTCACTGGCAGTGTTTTTCAGCAAGTCTTCTAGTTGCTGTTGCTGGCAACTTTATAATCTCTATATACGCAGCTAGCAGGATGTCCAGTTGTAGCCACAATTTTTGCTTTTTAGATAATTATCAGTATAAGCTTAATGCAAATCTAACAATTGTTTTTATTGTTTGCAGTGACTTCTGTACATTAGCATCTATCAAAGTGCATAACATAGTAGTGATGATGCAGTAAGTATGGAAACTTCCTAATTTTTGGCAACAACTTTAAAAGCCGTGTAATTCTTATTGAAATGTTAGCCAGAAGTACTTAATCCTGGAGTCTGTGCATCATAGATAAAATGAAACCAGCTTGCTTGTAGTAGTGTAGTAGCTCATAGTTCTTGAAACTGAAGTGTGTCTTTTGACAGGTTCTGGTGGTTTAAAGACACTTGAGTAAGTGGAGCTTTTATTACTGTATCTGCTCTGCAAGTTGGACTCTAGCCATGGACCTACTAAAGTCTCAAATAGTTTGAAATGACTTTGTGTATCAACCACTGTTCAAAAATTGCCAAGGTCTTTGTGATCTTGAAGCAGTAACAGGCTTTAGTATTCTTCCAGACTCAGCTTTTCATGACTGATTGCATAAATAACAACATGGTGGGCTCTTTTTTTTGGGAGGGGGTGGGGGAGGTGTAGACCAACCATGGCCATATCTTCTCTAATAATTTACTTTCTCCTCACAAAGAAAGGTATTAATGAGTAAGCCTGAGCTTCACTATCTTCTTTAGAAGTCTGTGCTCAGGGACCCAAATGTCTTTCATGGAGAAAATCTATAGTGATAAACTAGTATTGTTTTAAACTTTATTTTAATACTTACTTTGTTTCAAAACTACTTCCTTAAAAATGCTAGTAATGTAGAAACAGTGATCTGGAATAGGAAGCACTGAATAGGAAGCTCAAGCCTCTTACAAAACAAATATCTCTTCTGTTTTGTCTTTTTAAGAGTGACAGTGACAACCTCTTACTTTGGCCACTCTGAGCAAATATCCCAGGAGAGATACCAGTATGTGGACTGTGGAGGAAACACAACCTACCAGCTGGGCCAGTCAGAATATTTAAATGTACTTCAGCCTCCACAATAAAAGCACCTGTTGGTTAGTGTGGAATGACTGCTGTCGATGCTTGCAGAGATCCTTTGAATAGGACTGGTACTACGTGAAGGGGAGAGTATGTGCATGTGAAGCATAGCAAATATGGTGACCTGTTCACTTTAGATGCAAGGAGGGAAAAGGTGCAAAATGTATATAGATGCACTTGTTAAATGTTGTGTGTTCCCCTTCTGTTTGCTTTCTATTACTGTAAGCACTTCTGTCAAGTTCTGTGGTGGGAGGGAGAGGGGGAATATCAGATTCTTGAACTGAATTGGGACCTTTCCTTACAGTGTGGTACATCAGCTTAGAGTAACTGTGTGTATGTCTGTTTTTAGGTGAAATGTGTCACTAATGAGCATTTTAGAAAAAATGATACTCATAAATTTTAAGTTTATGCTTCAGTTCTTGATGTTTGACTATTGAAACTGGCAGTATTACTACTAGAGTAACAAGATTACTTTGAGTTATCTGGGTGTGAAAATTCAAATAGTAACCCAGAGCGATAGCTCTTTATTTTGCGATTCTTGCTTTCATTTGGTATACATGATTAGAGGTGACATGCAGTCTGTGAAGGCCAGGAAAGCTCTCTTGAATGACACTCTACTTGAACATGCAACTTCTAGAATCTGGCATCTTTTCATTCATATTCCTTCCTGCTGCTTCTTGGATGTTATAAGGAAAATGTATGTTTAAGTTCAGTTTAGAAACAAAACAAAAACCAGCCCCCAGAATCATTACTGAAAAGGAAAAATTCAAGATTGTAGAAAATGAATGGGTAAAGACTCTGACAGTGTCTTTCTGTTTTATTTTTCGGTAAACTTCTGACTACAGCTACTAAAATCAAGGTTGTGTGGTTGGAACTAGGTGGGAAAGTTTGAGCATGGGTTTTGGCAGCTTGATGTAAATTTTCATCATTTTTATTGTTTTAATATACTGTGTATTTAAGCTACTTCAAGTGTTAATACGCTGGGGTGTGTATATTTAGTGCACAGGTTCAGTAAGCAACGCCGTAGTTATCTGAATCTCCAGAGCACTCACAGTTCACATCAAAGTTATGTAAGGGAGAATAAAGCAATTCTTTCTGTAAGAATAAATGCTGTTATAGTCATGAGACTGACTTATAACAAAGCTATTAAGTAGTTTCAATATGATAGTATGCACAGTGAGAATTTCGGGGGTAATTATCAAACATGGTGTAAAGTTTGGGTCCAAAGCTGCTTGACTTCTCAAGGCTGACTGTCCTCAGGGTTAGGTACAAAACTACTTAATTAACTACATCAGGATTGTTTTATTTTTGAATTAGATAAGGTGCAGCTGTAAGAAGGTACTATTGAGACTGTTGCATTGTAATGAATATTTTTTAAAATAGATGTTTTTATGCTGCCCATCTTCTGGAAATAAGCTATATAAAATGAATTAGCAATAAACACTATGGAAAAAGGCTGCTGAGTAGCTTCTTGCCACTAACAACGTCTTATGCTCTAGTACTTTAATGAAGGTACATGTCTATTTTACTGTTTTCTTTATGGGCCTAATTGGGTGGGTGGGGGAAAGAACATCAGTGATGTAAGACTGATTTAAAATAAATTAAGCAACCATACCAAACCTTCCTCTTTTGAATTGCAATGAGCACTTACTCTGAATATCTATGAAAAATTTTGGAACCTAAACTGTTGGTTTCATATAATTGTTGGTAAGATGAAGATGTGAGCTTTTTGCTTTGGAGAACTTCTGGAACTGGAATAGTCAATTCTGATTACTTACTGTAGTTACTTTTGGAAATTATTCTTGAATCTGGGCACTTAAAAGTAAACATTCTTTATTACAACTTACAATCATAAGGGAAACTACTTCACAATTGACTCTAGTCTTCCTAGAGTATAGATGAGATTTAGTCCTGTGGTTGATAAAATGCATACAGAATTTTGTCTGATAGTCTGAAGAGATACAGGTGATAACAGAAGAGCAGGATAGTGGGGAGCTGGCTAGAAGCAGAGAGGTAAACTCTTCTATGTTATCTATTCTAGAAAGATTTGCTTATATGGGAGAGCAGGGAGAAGAGAAAATTCTGGTTTAAATCATGTCAGATCTGAAGTCAGCCTGCAAGTGATATGAGTTTTTTCTTCTAGGCCTAAATATTTACACCTAGAGTGTTGATTTTGTTTGTTTGGAGTTTGTTGTTTATGTTTGGTTGGGGTTTTTTTAAGTAGAAAAAGAAGAAAACAGCTTTAGGTAGATATTTATATACATTTTAAACTTTTCTTCAAAGAATAAAAGGTAATTAAAATAACTGGAATGGCACAATGGTAAAGTTATTTGGTGACAGTAGCAAATGCTGCTTGAACAAGCAGGGCGGCAGGAGATTACACTGTTTATACAGTACTGAGACTCAAACTGACCTTTGAAAGTTTGGCAGACATGCTGAGCAAAATTCATGCTGAAATCTGTGGATCTTATGATGCATGAAATGCTTAGTATTGGCTAATTTAAAACAAAGAATTAGTGGTGGAATTATTCTTTCCATATATGTGGTGGAAGGGGGGAAGATGCAACTCTTAATGTCTGTTATCTGGGATATCTGGTGGATGTGAACCTTAACACCATCAGTTTGCAGTAGGTGTGCTGAATGACGAAGTTCTCATCTTAAAAAATAAAGGTTGGGGTAAAGATCCTGTTGATGACTCTTCAAATTAAGCCAGTTATAGGAGAAACAAATGCTTACGTTTTCTCATGTGCTAGTGTGTCCTTGCAGAACTGCCAGCATATTACTAAACGAAGAAGGCAAGTATTTGAATTTAACTACTAATTTTAATATAACATCTCAGAGAAGCAGGTAAGCATCTGTTTGAATACTTAACTTAGACTTTATTTCTGTGGGTGAGCTTGGAAACATGCCAAGGGAGCATGGGAAGTCAGTATTAATTTGTATAACTTTGTAAACAAACTATAAGAATAGATCCAAGTGACAGACTTGTAATTATTTCAGTTTTTTTCTCTTGATTTTAAATTCCTGTACCAGAACCTGTTGCACTTTAAAGTAGAAGCTCTGTTAGTTATATCTTAAAACAGTGGTCCAGATGTTGCACAATATTGGCACAATTAAAAAACAAAACTTAAATGTATTCTGTATAGAATAACAGTAAAAATTCAAAATTATAATTTAAGGTGGATTAATATAGAACACTTAAATGCATAAAAATGTTGGTTATTTGGCCATTCTGACCTGGAGAACAACATTATTTTACATTTGAAATGTAATGCTTTAAAAATAAATGACAGAGTAAAGCCACCAAACAAAATCAAAGATCTAACCATCAAATATCCATCTGAAGAGATTTAAAGGGAAACGCTCTTACTGAATGATGTAGTACCTGACACTTACTCTTCAATTCCTGGTGTGGGGAAAAAGCTTGTAGAAACTCATTCATCCTTTGTTTACACATCTTGATATTTAGGGCATAGTTGCTTAATTCTTTATCTTTGGTGAAGGCAGGCATAAGACTCTTTTTCCTTTAATGCACTTCTAATGTGTGCATGACTGTGCTATTAACATTCTGGTGTTTATATTTTGCAGCCTTAAGTACATGCCTTGGTTGACTTTGCTCCAAATTGCCCTTGAAGTTCTGCAAGTGAATGAATTTTTTCACAGTAGTACATTGCAATCATGACTGGGCTCTTTAGCGTGTGGTGTATAAAGCTAACTATTTAAGCACTGAATCTCCGGGTGCTTGGTTTGAACCGTTAGGGTCTTGAACCATCTGACTGAAGTGTTGTGCCCTCATGATGGAAGGGATGGTGCTTGGAGTAGTATGAGAGAGATTTCTAAATTCAGAAAATGTTAAAAGAAAAATAGCATTATTTCTTATTCAGCTTTTAAGGCTTCCTTTTTTTTTTATTTGGTGGTGGTGATGGGAGGGTTACTTGTGGTTTTGCTTTTCTTACCACCCCCCAAATCTGTAGTGGGACATCGATCTGTTCCCAGACCACATCTTCTAAAATGGGTGACTTGTTTCAGAGTTGGGCAGCTGTGTGAAGCTTAACATTGGTTGGACTGGGTTTTGAGAGTTAAGTAGAACTAGCAGTAATCCCTCTAACAAGTGTTGGCCCTGGTCATGCCAACATAGGGGAAAAGGAATAAAACCGAAGCCAACACCCAAGCAAAAAACATGTTGAAAACGAGATTTTGGGTATGGCAAAAACATGTAATGTTTGTCTACTTGAGAAGTCACCTTCCCGTTTTACCTTTAGTTGAGGGATTCTGGTCATTACTGGAGGGGTAGTTTGGGGTGGTTTAGTTGCTGTCCTACAGCTTTTGCCATGTAAACCTGCTTTTCTGCCTGTAGGCAAGCCTGTTGGACAGGAATGATTGCACGGAATCTGTACAATTAAAGTTAGTGTCAGGCCCTACAGCGTAGTGTGAGACTGTTCAGTGGCAGTAACATCCTGATCCTCATACTGTCCTTTTTCACCAACCATCATAAGGGTCGCACAACCTGGATGCATATGTCTTTTGTATACTGAAACTGCTTTTGCTTTGCATGGGCAGGGATATTTAGTGCCAGACATGCCAGTATATTATAGTGCCTGAATGTTTGGGGACTGACTGTCAGTGATTTAGTTCTTTTTTTGTTTTGTTTAAGAAAGCAAACTTAACCACTGTTAACATCGACTGTATTGAGTGTGCACATAGTAGCTTGAGATATGTATAGAAACACTAATAAGTGATAACTATTTTTGTAACTTAAGAATTGCAAACTGTTCTTGTAACTGTGTAGCAAACAATCTATCAACTTAAGCATGATAAACACTCTAGAAGTCAAGGGGTATCTGGGAATGACTTGTAGGACACAGATGCTATCTTAATGAAAGTTAACTGGGGCAAGGGGTCTTGTTTAGAGGTTCAAAATCTGGAGTTAACTTCATAATGAATATATGTTTCTAGACAGGATTGTTTGACTCAAAGAATGATATTAAATTTTCCATTAAAAAAAGCTTGGGTCATGCATCTCTTTTTTTAAATGACCTAATATTTTTATCTCCTCCTTCCCCATCTTCCACAAGTTTTCCCGTATCTCCCCATATTTTTCCCCATGAGCTTTCATGTATTTTCAATGGTATGAGTTGAATTCTTGTAACTATTGGCATTCCATTATTTGAAAATTTTGCAATGTACTTTTTTTTTGATACTATGTTTTATTGTGTTAAATCTGTAATAAACTAGAGTATCTGAAAGCTAAGCATCATATGTAAATGAGTTACTGTTGTCTGTACTATTAACTGAGTTAAAACCTTAGGTGGGTTGACCCCATGCACCAGGTGAGCCCCTCCTAGTTGCTCATACACTCTTCTGCCTGGTGGGATGGTGGAAAGAATCAGGACAAAAGCAAGAAAATTCATGAGTCAGGATAATGACATGTAATAGGGGAAGCAAAGCTGTGTGCACAAGCAAAACAAGGAATTTATTTCCTGTCAGCAGGCAGGTGTTTACAATGGGAAAA